TGACATGTGGCACCCAAATCGACGAGTTCGAGGCCCAACTCGACGAGTTGATCAGATTTCCAGCCTATAAATAGAGGTGCGGGGCAGCCTCATTTCTCACACCAATTCTCATCTCTCTATCTATATATATACTCTCTAACACCCCCACCCCCACCCAAAGCCTAGGGTACCTCCCTAGCACGATAAGGAAGCCCTGGATCTCCCGAAGTCTCCGAGAAAAAGAGCTTTTCGGCTCAGAAGCTCTGCTCTAGTGAATCCTGGTTTTTAATAAAAACCCGTTGTAAGTAAGATACGCGTACCATACTTTAAATATAGCTTATATTTAAATATAATATCGTTATTATGAACTTATAAATAAGATTTATCAGTGATTCAAAGTCGTTATACTGATTGATCTACTTACGGGAGAGGTGTCTAGAATGGTCACGTTGTGTTTGGTTGTTGGATTTCAGAAAAACTATATGTCAAAATGGTCATGCCTCCCAACTGTCATGCCTAGCTGATCCTTACTTGATAGATCATGAAGTAGACTCTGAGTTAATGACAAATCTAGACTAATAATTAGTCGCAATAAATATTAGACTAAAATCTAGTGATAATAATACTAGATTTCGTCGAAGGAAATCATATTGTTAAGAAGCGAAGCGTTGCTCGAATTTCGAGTCATCACTGTAACAAGTGAGTGCATAGTTACTTTCCTCTTACACATAGATATGAAGTATTTTATATAAATTATGTGTTATGTGTGTGTATTATCTGAATACTTGCTGTCTATATTGGATGAATGATTTTATACATGTTTTAAATGATTTAAACTGTATATGTATTTTATATCTACAAAATGTGTTGGGTAAAACATGGGTAGATGTAATAGTTGGTGTGTGATAAAATAAAATGATGAGAGGCCTTGATGTTGTTGTTGATCCAGTCATCTAGCGGAGTATAGATGACGACCACAGACTTTTCTAGACAGTCCAGTGGAACGCTAGCAGGCTCGCAACCTGTAGGTGTTTGTGAACGATGTGTTCACTGGTGTACTCCATCCCCCTCATGGTTACCTTTAGGACATTTATTGTTAAGGGACCCCCTTAGCAGTAGTGTCCATCCCGATGATGATCCTTAGGCTAGGTTCCTTATGATAGGTGTTTTAGGGACGTAAAGTGAGGATAACGGGAATGGGTAATCGGGTTATTGTTGGTTGATGAAATTAATAAACTTATTTATTGTGGGTTGAAAACCCTATGTGCTCACCAGGCTCCTAAGCCTGACCCACTCAGTTTCTTGTATTACAGGTAGTGGCACTCGATCATAGATGTGACGTTTGGATGGGGGATTACGGATTATAGGCATGTAGATATGAATAAATGTTGTAAGGCTTATATTGTACTGTTTATGCTTTTGATCTGTATCGAACATGACATACCGAGGTTTTTAATGAAATACATTTCTTCGGAAATTCTTTGATAAATATTTATTGTATTTTCTTTTGGGAACAAATTCCGCACACTTTTCTTTAAAATGTTACTCTGATTTTTAAACAAGCATGAACAAAATCGGTCTTTTCTGGCCGTGAAAATGGGGATGTCACAGTTACAGTACATGTGTACCTTAGCATATTACAGTGCGCCCTAGTACACTGGGCGTACATCTGTACGCAGGGTATACATGCCAGGCATGCAAACCATAATTTTTAGGGGTTGGCGCATATTTAAACCCCATTATAGCCTCATTTCCCCTCACTTCATCAGCCTCCATCCTCTTAAAACGTTTTGTAACCCTAATCTACCTTGTGAAGCATTTCTATGCTTGAGTGTATGTGTGTGTGTGTGTTTGTGCTTTGAAGAAAAAGGAAGAATGAAGAGACCATCTTGGAGGAGTGAAGCAAATTGGATTTGGGATTTCTACCTTGTTTTCAACCTTTTGAAGGTAAAAAGCTTGCAACTTTACCACTCCATCATATAGATCTATATCTTGTTCTTTTAAAGACATTTTTTTGGTCCCAAATGGTGAATCTTGAGCATGGCTTGTTCTTGACCCATTAAGTCGTCCCTTTAGACCTTAGGAGAGGTCTTAAGCCATAAAAATGGAGTCATTATGGTTAGTTTTGTCCCATGCATGTTATTAAAAGGACTTAATACATTAAGATGTGGAGTTTTGGTGTTTTAAACACTTATTGAGCATGCAAGGTCATAAAGTTGGAAACTTTATGACCCCTAGTGATATTTTGGCTGTGGATCTGCAATTGGACTCATTAAGTCAAAGTATTGAGCACTTAATGGGAAAAGAAGAAAACCTGGGAGTACGTCGTGCGTACTAGTGTGTACGCCCAGCGTGCTCAGTTAGCCATCCCGATCCAGTCAACGAATGAGTACGCCCCGCATACGCTCACTGTGTCGACCCGGCTAGGTTGAATCAGTTAACTTGACCAGATTGACTTTGACTTTGACCAAGTTTGACGTAAGGGTATTTTGGGTATTTTGGGATGGTGATTGAGGATTGTTCATTTGGTTGGATAGGTGACGGTTAGAGCTGAGATTCGGAGTCGATACCTCATCAGCTTTTGTCCAGACTGTAAGGTGAGTTTTCTTCATTGTACTTACAGGTTGAAGGCACCAAGCACGAACCAATGGATTAGATGTCCTGTTATGTGATAGTATACTATCGTGCTGTAGTGATCTGTTAGATCTGTATCCTGGTATAAGATGATGTTATCCTTAATTATCTATAGATCTGCATGATTGTCTGTTGACAGATTATATGATTATCTGTTATATGTGCACATATTTTGGTGGGTGGTTGAGGCTTTAATGCTATGTGTGTGGGCCAACAAACCGGGGGCATTCCAACCCGATGGTTGATTGGCACCAAGGGTATTCCATCCTGAGGTTGACTGGACCCCTTGTATATTGGCATTCCAACCCGATGGTTGACTGGGCCTAGGGTATTCTAACCTGATGGTTTACTGGTCCCATTGTATATTGGCATTCCACCTAGGGTATTCTATCCCGAGGATGACTGGACCCGAAGGGTGATTGGGCCAGGGGTATTCCAACCTAATGGTTGATTGGACCCGGCATGTTGTTATATATGTTATATGTTTATGTTTTGGTACTTTGGGGGAACTCGCTAAACTTTGACTTACGGTTTTTAGTTATTGTTTCAGGTACTTCTGATGACCGCGAGAAGGCGAATGCATGACCGTACACATCTTCTGTTTTATGTACTTTTGATCTATGGGATACTCTGATATGGAACATTACTTTGAAAACAATGATTTTGTAAACATTCTATGATTTGGGTTAGTTTTAAAAAGTTTAAATTTATGTGTGATTTTTATGGCTGTTACATTATAGCCTCATATTCTTCAGATCTTTGCTCTAATGAAAGTCTCGAGCTTGCAAAGTAGTCATTGGCATTTCTTTAAATTTTGAACCCTCTAATCTCCAGATTTTTTATAATTAGTTCAAAACTAAAGATCTATTTGTAGAGAATCAGTTAACCTCATAAGGCGCGACAGACACGTCACGCACTGCGATTTGCATTGAGGGTTCTCACATTTGACAACTCAACACGACGCGCATATGAAATCCAACTTCTTTCCTCGATTAGCTCCAGCTTTAACTTTTGCTCCTGATTTGTGCTCATTTTCGCTCATTTTCCATAACTTCCCGAAATAACAAGACATTTATAAATTTCAAGCAAATAAGTATCTTTTGTTCATATTTACAATAAAAAACGTAGCATAACGTATATGATATTGCCTAAATTTTATGTATAATTATGATAATATGAAAATACCTCATACTTGGACTTTGCTCGACCCCAAGCAAAGTAGAATCTATTCAGGCCGAAACTACAATTGAACTCCAGTATTACAATGAATAAGCATTGTTTACAAATATCATACAAAACATGTAACTCAAGGACATTCGTTATACATAAACAAGCCAATTTTTGTATTCGTTTGGTTGTTTTACAAACCTATTAACCACTTTTAAAGAAAAAATTAATAACTAAATTAATTTATCCTTGTCTTTATAATATGTTTTATAATTCACCCCAATCTAATTTGTTTGAAAATAAATTGTTTTATAATTCACCCAAATCTAATTTGTTATTTTCAAACACATGTAATATTTTTAAAAAGAAAAAAGGATTTTACAGTAACATTAAATAAAATTAATATATTACACTGTATAGAATTAAAATAGGTACTAAATCTATGGTAAAAACCAATAAAGCATTATTTAGAATCTAATTGTTTAATTATATTCCAAAAAGCTACCATCTCCTGTTTCTATTATTTTCATATTCTTTCTATTTTTCTACATATACATACATGCAGAAATCAAGAATTTTGCATCCACAAGTTCAAACATTAAAAATACACATGAAAACAAGTTCTAGATGAATCCAAATACATTAAATAACATATAACCATAAGTTTTACATCAATTCACATATATTAAAAAGAAATATAATAAGATGAATACAAACACATCAAAAAACTTTATAACATTTACCATATGTTTTTATTTAACTAGTTCAACCACTAAAGTTTATTGTGCAAAATTGTTCTTTTCCATGTATTTTTATTCAATTTAACATGTTCAACTGATTTAATTTAACTGGTTCAACCATGTTTTTTGTAAAAACACCCGGCCTTCCCTTCCCTGGTTCCCGATCCGGCCATTTCAAACCGGTATCTAAAACATTGAACAAATGAATCTTTTGAAAAGGATGATCTTGAATACCTTTATTATTAATTATGCAAGTCATTTTCAAGGTTCTTGCAAAGAGGAATTTATTCTTTGAAATTCCGAAGTAACCATGGTTGGCAGAAAGATTAAAGGAACCCATATTTAAAAGTTACCAGTTTTGGCTATGGATTAAATCCCATAAACGCAAGAAATATTGAAAATTAATTACGAAATTTTGTTTCGAAGCAAAAACTTACAAGAAAATACAAACATAAAGAAATCAATTTCACGGCGCACGAGTTACAAATGCACAACAGCCATAGATTTCATGACACACGAAGACACATCCATGTCACGAGCCACCTCATTCTTGGACACATGAACCCAATCCATATTCGGATCCGATACATCACATATGGTCACAAACTCCAACACCTGTCCAAAAATCTTAAACATTTCAACCCCAAAAATCAAGTTCTTATCACCAACAAACACTGCATTCCAGTCCATGGGTGCATCAGGATGCATCAAAACCTGATTCCAACTTAAACAAACAAGATCAAGCTCCCACAACTTTCTAACCGCCTTATTTCTCCTTCCAATTTCACCATCTCCTTCACACCAAGAAACCGCCACCATAAACAACCGTTGACCACCACACGACACCAGTTTCGGGGAGTACTCATGGACACGTGGCGGCACCGGATTCGTCTGGACCCGAACCCAAAAACCATGTTTAATGTCATATGCCGCGAGTTTATCACTCTCGGAGTAAACATAAAAAATCCCGTTACAAACAACGGCCGAACAAATGATCCCGAAATCAACCGGGACCCGTTGGATTTCCGTCCATTTGTTCGATGAAGAATCGTAAATCTCGCATGTATCTAACGGCTCGTCGAATGAACCGACCCCACCTACCGCAATTATCAAGAACCGTGTTTTTGTCTGTGTCTGTGTCAGTGTCCGTGTCCGTGTTCGGGTTTGACTTTTGATGGTCAAACGATCGGAGTTGACTTCATAGACTCCAAGAACCGGTTTCGATCTTGCATGTCTCATAGATGCAACTTTGTGAAAAGCTTTCATCAACGGGTTAAAAACCAAAACTCCACGGTGTGTTTTCCGGCTCGAACACCCTCCGATGATGTAAACGGTATCATGGACAGTCGCCACGGAGAATAAAAACCGGCCGTTTAAAACTTCGGTTTCAATTTTATGCCATTTTTTGAAAGAAACATCGAACGCGTAAATCTCACGTGAGCAATATCCGTTTTTAACAGTACCAAAAAGGAACAACCATGGACTCGGGTAAAACCCATCTTTTCTCATTTGTAGAAACCGAGGGGTGGTTGTTAATGATCTCCATTTTTTGCACACGAGACGTGTGTTCATTAGGCTTGTTAACGGGAGTCTCATTAAACACATCTCGAGAATATCATCGGGAAGAAACACATGCATGGCGTTGTTTTGGGCTTCAAAATTATTCTTTTTTGTATAATTTCTTTTCCAAAACCTCTCAACTCCATACGAGAAACAATCGATACTTGTGTCGTGGGTCCCGCACACAGGTTTGGGCCCGTTACCGAGATGGGCGAAGTCGTCGGTTGTTGCGGCTCCAACCTTGCACCCTCCTCCACCTCGGGTGTATAAACTTAGACACCTTAATGAAACCCCTGTGGTGTCATCTCCATCCTCCATCACACTTCCATAATTGTTGGAAGTTTTGAGTTCTTGATGTGAACTTTCACCCTGTTGTTGCTCAGATTTCATCTTGCATTCTAACATCTATTAACATGTTTGTATCTTGATGTGAAAATGTGCTTGCTCCTAAGCCTGGTCATATGAACATTACATGTTAGATGATGATAGCAATACAAGATCACAAGAAATATGATTCATTGAAATTCAGAAAAAAGTATCCATGGATTTCATAGAAGATTTACCAAAATCTCATGGAATGATACGATAATGGTTATGGTGTTTTGGCTTTCAAAGTTTGTCAATATTTTGAGCCTCAAACACCCATTTTTGGCTTATATGGTTGCTAGTTTATTAGTGAAAGAGATTGTAAGGCTTCACAGATTTCCAAACTCAATTGTATCAGACCATGATCAAAAAAAAAAATTAACAAAATTTCATAAATGTTGGTTATTTCCAATTGTATCAGACCTGTGGTTTCCAAAAAAAATTTAACTCAATTGTATCAGACCTGTGGTTTCCAAAAAGTCTCGAGTTCAAGACAATGTTGGTTTTTGCTACAATAGTGGTCCCTATGGTTTCAAAATCAAGCATGCTTAGTCCCTCGGCTGTTAAACCTAACTTTTAACCGGTTAGGCGGTAACTTCTCTAATATGACCAATTTGCCCTTGGACCAAATCTGAAATATACAAAATGCTACAAGGACCCTTTTTGCAATTTTTACTTATTTTTATTTTGTATTTGTATTATGGTTGTTTTTCTTTTTTTCCAACCACTTTATATTATATTATTATAATCAAAACCAAATTTGATCTAGTCACTTGTTATATTTTAATTTACACTTACTTATCTCTATAGTTTAAACTTGTTTTTGGCCAAAAGCACAATCTGCATACTAGTGGATTCTTTTGGTTTAAACTTGACTTATTTTCTTGGTTACAGAGAATTTTTAGAAAATAGATGAGAAACCTGTTAGAAGTTGGAAAAAATACAAGCTAGAGTACAAGACTAAAAAGTAATACAGAGGGGTAAATTGGTCATTTCACAAGTAACTAACCCCTATTTGTTAATGGAATTACCGTAAAGGACTCGGCATGCCTGATCTTGGAACCACAAGGACCACAGGTGTAACGAAAACTAACATTATCCTAAACTTGAGACTTTTTGGAAACCATAGGGGGCATTTATGAACTTTTGTAAAATTTTCACACAGATGGGACCCTCTTAGACTTGTGAAGCACACGATGGGACATACTACGGTTGTATCAACTAACTGAAAGAGACACAATCTTTAGATGAATTGAAACAGAAACTCAATTTTCTACTTGTTCAAATAGTAAATGAAGAGTGTTGAGGATAAAAAGAGGAAAGAAGTCAATTGAAATTCCACATTGAGTACAAGGTGGTTGTTTGCTAAGCCACCTCTAAAGTTCATGTACTCTAGGAGGGGTAAAACTGGAAATACAGGCAAAACAGAATAGCTGTCCATTGGAGGGCAATTTTGGAAGTTTAATTAATAGAGTTTGTTACTCTAGCTTATTTGTGGGTATGGAGAATAAGGGAGTGGGTATCAAGAAAGCACTAGCCTTTGAAACGTTATTTCCATGAATTATTCTTGTGCTTAATGAATTCACCTTTGTTTGAGTCTTAGCATCAAAGTGGATTCTCATTTTGACAGAGGCCATTAATAATTAGTGAAATTGCTTCTGAAACAATCTCAACTTCATCATACATCAAATATGTTAATCAAGGAGGTTTAAATAAATTGAAATCAAGTACCTAAAAGAGTCAAATTTAAATAGAAAAAGACATACAGATACAGTATATGATTCCAAAAATAATATCCCCTTAGTTCCAAAACAGTCCAAATTTGAAGTCAAATGAGTTGTTCTTTCCCTTGTTATTTTCAATAATGCTGATCTTAATCCAGAAAATTTTAGTAACCATGCTTAAATATTTATACATTATTACAAAAAATATATCTTTTGGGTAAAAAAAAGTAAAAATTTGATGTCGGTTGTGAATCTGAAATTTGATAGGTTTGACTATCTACAGTCAACGAACCCAGAGAACTATCAACTATGAACACACCAAACAGATGTAACTGTTAACTCTTTTGTGTCAAACAAGTGATTCTCTAACTTCATAAATTGATAAGAATAATCATTATATGTAAGCAATCAGCCAATATATACATATACCCGAAGATTACTCAAAGAAGAACAGTTTCACAGGACCAAAAATCAAAACGAAAAATGCAGAATTTGAAAAGCATCAGGTTTGACTACCTAGGAAAAGTCAAAATACAATGCTCTCAGAAAGACGCACAAACTATGTAAGAAGATAAAATGCAACGAATGTGAACAACAACCCAGAAACTTAAGCAGCTGAATGCACTGAAATTACACAAACAGGTAAAAGTAAAGAAACCAAACCTCATCAAGTTTATACAGCCACAGTCCAGATGCGTGTAAACAGAAAAAAGACCGGTGTTTCGCTTCAAGATTCTTGTTCTGCACTCCAAACGATCGATCCAAATAATAGATCCAACAAAAGGATACTAAAAGTAGTAATTTCTTGGGGATTCAATTCTTTAAAAAGAAGGGGTTTGAGTAGGAAGATGAAATGTGAAATCTTTGGGATAGCAATTGATTATTTGGTTAGGTTAAAGGATGCAATCAAGAAGGGAGGATTTTTGGTAAAGTTTGAAAGGCAAAGCAAAAGCAGAAATTAAACGTTTTTAAGGGAAGAAAGAGAGAGAGATATGAAAGTGATGGATCTGGTCTCTCTCTTTTTGAGTTTAATCATCATGTCAAGAAGTGGGTGTACTTATTTATTATTTGTTTTGTTCAGTTTTTTCGCTTTATTTGAAGAAAAGCCGAAACAGTTCTCTATTTTTGGTTTTATTCATCCAATATTACATTATTCATTTTTGCTATTTGATTAAAGCTCTCTACACTCTACACTCCACATTATATCCAAAAACTAAATAGGTTTAACGGGAGAGAAAAGAATGTGCTAAATTAATGATGCGAATGAACGAACTAGAAAGTGGTAATAAATCTTTGAAACTTAGCTCACAACTTTCAAGAATAATCTTTCTTTTTTAGGGATAAAACTATAAAAGGAAGTGATCTCTAATTCTTTCGAATAGTTTTTATTAATCAACTCATAATAACACCCCTATTTAGGGAGTGTTTGGGTTATCTTTTGAGAGGCGAAAATGACTTTTGGGAAAAGTTACAAAAAGTCAGGTTTTCCTGACTTTTCCAAAAAGTCAGTTTTCCTTCTATGAAAAATCCAAAAGGAGCTTTTAAAGAGCTTTTACCAAACATCTTTTTTCTGCTATCTTTATCTAAAATGACTTTTAGCCTCTCAAAAGATAAGTCAAACACCCCCGTATAATAATACGGATACTCATATAAATAATAATAATAATAATAATAAATAAACTAATCAATCATCTAAACTTACCAAAAAAAAAGTTTCCAAAAACACAAAGAAAAATGCCCATTTTTTGCCTTGAAAAATCCTAAATTGCCATAAAATCGTCATATTGTTACATATAATATATATTATGTAATGTCTCATTTTTACAAATAAATTTTTCATTTTTAATTAAGATAAAACACTATTTTTCAAGCAATCCTAAGTTAAAAATTCCATTTGTTCAATTACAATTAATTAGGAAAACAGAGTATTAAGATATAAACGTGGAACTCCAACGTTGCTAATGAGTGTGTACATTTATGCCTTCGCCTTTCTACAATCACCAATAGTACCTTAAAAACATTTAATCAACAACTGTACGTCAAAGTTTAGTGAGTTCCAAAAATACAACATACCACAATATAGATACAATGCATGCGAACATGAGCCTTCAGTCTGTCTGCCCGCCTCGCAAGGCCTACATTATGCCTGGACTAGTCCCCCATAGCATACAGTTGTTCCACACCTGGACTACAGTACATCGTTGGCCCACCCGGGTATCTTGGTCTACCACACATACCAAGATCGCCTCACCCCACCACCTAAAAATCGACATATGTAATAAACAAGCAATCAAGTAAACACAAACAACTATCTACACGAGTCTACCTGTCTAGCAGCGGTACATCGTTATCGGCACATCTCCATGTAATGCATAACTATATGTAACCAGATGTGAGATAGATATTCAAACAAGTGATCACACTCTAGAACCACAACCAAACAAGAAACATGCAAGAAAGCCTAGATCAAGAGTTTTCAGTGAATGATCTATTATGCCCAATAGTCATTATAGAATGATATTGCTAATAATATATGATCATATAGGGTCACACCTTATAGCAAGTTACTATCAATTGATTATTTATTAATATAATTTGATTATTAATAAATATATCAACATTTGTATTTAATTGGAAAAACATTATTTTGTAAAATAATATTTTACCAACATATTGAGAATTATTATTTCTAGAAAAATTAAAATAAAATAAAATAAAATAAAACTAGTAATATAATCATATAGTATGATTATTTATGTCATGTACAAATATATGGTAACTTTGAGTAACCATTTAATAAGTATATGTAATTAGTTGATTAAATAAAGTAACTAGCTTTTAGACTTTGTCCCCTTTGACTTGGATTTAGTCTGTAACACCCATTCCGAGAAAGGTTCATTTTTAACCCTAAAATATATTTAAGATTGACATTTTGGTCTGTACGTCGTGTGTACTCGGGGTGTACGCATGGCGTACTCATGCATGAGGAAGCAGGTCTCGCATGCATATGTCTGGCGTACTCATCATGTACGCATCGCATATGCTATTTGTAACACCCCGTTTATTTAATAAATAAATAAACAAATTAATAAATGATTAATAGCCCTAAATGAGGAATAGTGTAGAAAGGAGTTAGTTTTGGGGGTTAAAAGTTATAATTGAGAGTGTGGGGGTTAAAATATAATTATTAATTAGTTTGCAAAGAATTTTGGAGGTTGAGGGTGGTTTGGTAAATTCTGGATTTAAATCGAAATAAAATCTTGAAGGAAGGGGCCGAATGGTAAATATTGGATTAAAGTT